GGGCCAATAGAGTCAAAGATTCTCCCAAGTGGGAAATACGAAATGAAAGTGAAAAGTGCACTTTCGGCGCGAAAACAAAGAAATTTAAATTTCCGAAATAAAATTATAAAATTAAAGCATTTACCAAGCGAGTCCTGGGGATCTAGCATCACCAACACCTCCCCCATTCAATAGCGTACGTTTCTGGGCTCCACTTGCATTTTGACCGTTTGTCGCCGTTGTCGGAGTGACCACATTCTGGGTCATAGATCGACCAGTCGATGTGCTTCTTCCTGTGTCGGGACTGCAGGTAGACTAAAGGTATGTAATTGGATGTCAAGTAGGAGATTCCCTTCTCTCAATGGGCGAACTGGGGCTAACCGCTTGCGTATCTGTTTCCGATGTCGATTCCAACTGTCTTTTCTTACCTCTGCCTGGTACATGACATGGCCTAATTTTCCGACCACATGTGCTTCAGTCCAAAGACCATGATTTGATCTGTAGTCCCGAGCTAACACCGGACATCCAACCTCGTTTGTTGGTAGTTCCTGGGACGTGGTCAGTGATGGCGATGGTATGGTTTTCTGAAGCATCAGATTGCAGACCGTCCTCAATTTTCTTCCCATGAGGTTTTCTGTTGGGGACTTTTGCTCGGGAAATACATCACTAGGTGTCGTTCCGTAAACGAATAAGAAAATTTGCACTGTTTCCCCTGGCGTCCTCTCTTTTTTAAACTTGATTAGAGCTCCCTTAAATGTATCCACAAAAAGTTCTGATTGACCATTTATTTTCAGGTGGTAGGGTGGAGAGCGGAGATGGATAACCGTTGGCAGAAATCTTGAAACTGTGTTGAGGTGAGCTGAGAACCATTATCTGATAAAACTACATCCGGTAACCCGTTGAGAGCGAACATCTCCGTCAAGAGTCGTATCGTCTTGGCAGTCGTCGGTGGCATAATGGGGACAGTTTCTGGCCATTCTGAAAAGGCGTCAACCACAACTAGATAGCTGCATCTTCGACGGCCGTATGGTGTTAGCTGATAAGTCGTGACAGGGCGTCTGCCCAATCAACTTTTTGAGTGAGCCGGTACTGAATATCAAAATCATAACCCAAAAGTATCAAAGCCCATCGCTGGAGACGGTTTGCAAAGTGGACTGGAACACCATATTTCGATCCGAAAATTTTATGAAGAGTCTTCTGATCAATGAGAAGAGTAAATATTCGACCGTATAAGAATTTGTGAAAACGAACACAAGGTCAAGAGCCTCTTTCTCTATGTGACTGTACTTTCTTTCCACTGCAGTTAATGTACGAGATGCATGCATAACAGCTTTCTTCGTTGCGTCCGGAAACTGGTGTGAGATGACAGCATCAAGTCCAAAAGCCGAAACATCTGCAGCCATAATGATTGGCATGGGTGGGTCGTAATGCGTCAATAACAGTTCAGAGCTAATGATGGTTTTCAGCTTGCAAAATGCAGCTTCACACTTCTTTGTCCAGTTGTAAATAGTATTCTTATTCAGAAGATAATTTAGTGGGGCGCGTATGTCATGCATCGACGGAACAAAAGATAAAATTGAGGCATTTACTAAGTAAGTTCTGGGGATCTAACATCTCTAACAGACAGTCACCGGTATAGAGAACCAAGTATATTGGAACTCACAGAAACATAGAATACGATACATAAATAGAGAAACTATCAAATCCAAAAAAACTAAGGCAAAGTTATTATTATTATTATCATTATTTCGAAGTTATTCAAAAGATGGATACGATACATATAAACATGCATGTTGAGAACGGGGAAATATGAAGCCCAGACAACTGCGAAAGCTATTTTCTTGAGACGTTATTTCATTTCATTCAAATCTTGTAAAAGACATATTTATTTTTGTCCCTGTTTTATTCTACATAACATGAGCTTTCGTTCTATGTATCATTCACTGCCATACCCTTTTTTGTTCCGAAAATATTGTAATTTAAACATAATATTTTGCATCTTATTTTCTACCCTAATTCCCAGTTTCGGACATAATTGTATTTTTCCAAATTATCGTACGTTGTGGTCAGGATATTCACTTATTTATTCATGAACATTTCTGCACTAATCCGAATTCAGAGAATTCAGTGTTCCAACTGTCTTGTCTTCTCTCGCTTGCGTGCTTGCCAAACAATCAGGTTCTAGAATAGTTCTCTCTACCCCGTCTCGAACTCACGCATACTAGACTCAAGGTTAAGCCGCTCAGTTTATCGCGTCAAGGTCATAATCTAGACTAGACAGATCAAGGTCAAGTCATAGCAAAGTATCGACGGGGTAAAAGCGATTCAAAGGTCATAATAATGCAGTGTTAGGGGAATAGCGCAACATGTAGGTGTGAAAATGATTAATTGAAACAAAAACGTGACATTAATGTTGACGAAATTTATAGACCCTACGTTTGTGATGCATTGGAAACCATGCATTATCATTTTTAAGTTTATATCACTAGATTTTTTATCGAAACCTTATGAAAAATGCAGCGAATATTTTATGCTTTTAATTGCTCACATTACACATGAACTTTTCTTTGGCTGTTGACTCGCGACATGCAGTAGCACTATTTAGGTTACAGTGGTTTGGAGGTTTCCATTTTCGTTTTAAAGAAAACTATAATCAAAAACAGAAGTTCGTTGTCTTACTCAAACAACAAAATGGTTTGGAAGTAAGTAGAATAAATAATGATGTTGAAGATTAATCAAGCCATATACAGAAATGTAATAGATCCTTTGAATTTGGGTGTAGCAGTAAATAAATCTCCAAAAGAAATCGTTCTGTAGGTTTTCGATATTTGGTGTTGATATTACTAGTTTTAGTAAACTTATCTAGCTAAGCCCACTCAGTCACACATCCGCATCAGATCACGAGTAGATACCTGCGCTACGCATTTCTTGCGACCGCTGATCAGCTTAGACCAATTGCTTCCCTATATATCGGTGGCCTTTCAAATATATTTCTAAGCCTCTTTACTTCTGACTCCTCATTTGACTGAGTTGGTATACTTTGATTATAAAGGTGTAACGCGTAAAGGCGTTGTCGATCTCCGAATACTTGTGGCATTTTTATGGGTACCAATAGAAAGATGCCATATTTTTCAAATCAAACTAAATAACCCAAAATTTAGATTTCTCTGTTGTCAGAAAAATTGAAGACAGGAATTAAAGGTGGATGTAACAAGTAGCATAATTTTGTGAGTTTATGCTGTAGTATATATATCAACATCTAAGTCGATAAAGAAGAGGACTGAGGACAACGGAAGAGATAGAGAAGTAATGGTAACTGATCAAAGGACACTCTATTTACAGACGTTTACATGTTACCATCAAGTACAGTTTCTCAACGAATGTTTTAAATATTCTCCTATCCTGAATACATAAGTATATTAAAACTGACATGTCGTGCGAGCTGATGTTTTTTAACCGTCTATGAACGGAGTCTTTCCGATCATAGATTTCATGTTACAGCAGTTATTATTTCAAGAGTGTCATATATCAGGTAAATCTGTTTTCAGAGATAGATTATATTAGTAATATGTATAATCCCCTCAGTAGGATTCAAGTTTGGTGATTCACACTACGTTAAGCAATTTTTTCCGCGATCAGTACCTACGATGTTTCAGGAAAATATATTCGTATTCGCCTCGTGTTCAGCTATCATAACATACACTCAACGGTAGGCATATATAAACAGGTTCCAAACACTGATAAGATTCAGACTCCACAGTACCTTGTGGTTGGGATGGAGAGAGCCAGGTGACACACATGGATCCTCTAGTGTTGAGAAGAATGAGCTTTATAATGTGATGAAGAATTTCTATGGCTCGTGATTCGTTGTGTACAAAGAAATTCCAGAAGTGAAAGATTAGATTTTAGTTTTCGAACGTTTTGAGAATGCACTTAAAAGTTATCTGCTTAATATGAAACTGCCTCTCTACCTAGATGCCTAGTTGGATCAGTTCTGAGTTGCTGATCCGAATAATGGTCGTATTCTTTACCTGTAATTATCTTACGGAATACAGACCGACGACCCTTGTTGTAGCGCCCTCAAAGATTGTGATATGTCTTTATTTAGGTTGGCATAAGTGATATATCATCCATAATTTTTTAACCGCAACAGTGTAGTTTTAAAAATGCCTACCTCTGGATCATGAATCTGACTCAAATGGAATGGTGAACCGGGATCCTTGATAGTAAGGTTAAGGTAAATGCAATGTATCCTAGTTTCTTAGAAGTTTGAGAAAAAAATCAATTGTAGCTGCCCTGTCAGTAAGCTTTAGTCGGTAGGTAAACAATCACCACTGACAAACTTGCCCAAATAACCAGCATTTTAAGGCCACTGTGAATTATACATTGTCATCCCAATGCTAGTTTGTATAAGTGAATTTGAGGTCAGTTTTCAAACAATTCGGTGGTGCAATTTTTCACTGGTCTTTCATAAGTTTTACCCAATATTTGGGCGTAGAAACAGTGCTTAATTCCTTACTTTAGGACAAGTAAGCCATCAAGCGTATCCAAAGAATAACCATGAAGTCAAATGTGGTAACTAGAGGTTGAGCCTTACGAAGAATAACTAATAGGGTATAGCGGACTCAGAGAAAACCCTTTAGTGACTCTCATAATTCCGAATAGCCCTAGGTATTTCCTAAAGTACCTACTTGATGTCAGTCCCAACATATAACTTGAATCGAACACTCATACGTTAGAGATTCAGAATAGTAGACTTTTCTGTAAGCATATCATACGCTAAGTACAAATAGTTAGAACTTGAAATTCCCTATAGACTGGAGTGGTAATAACAGCTTCTCAATAGTTCAAACAGGCAAATTCAACTATTCTTCTGGAGTATGAATAGCAAGTCATGCCAATTTTCCAACAATTCTTTAACAAGAGATTTTTCCGTATATATCACTTCTTATATGGAGGCTTCAAAAAGATACAATCGATTCTTCTCAAAACCAACATACTTGTTATGCTTTATACGTTTTACACATCCACCTTCAAGGCCATGAATTGGGAGCGTCCAGTCAAACATATCGACTTCTTTGACTTGTGCATACAGGTTGTTGGTTGTCAATTTCGTTTTTAATGTAAGTTCATCATGTTCCTTAGGTAAATCATAAGCTGGAGTCACATTTAATGCCTTTTTTTATTTCAAACCTTATAAGATCTATTTATCTGTAACTTTGCTACAAACATTATATGACAAATTGGGATGGAAACTCTGTGTAGACAAGCCAATTAATATTATTTTTTGTTTCCCTCAATACATCTATCCTTTCATCGAGTTTCACGTCTGGATTCTTGGGTGCTGCTAATCGTGCTCGGTTAGTAAGGACGTTAAACGAAATTTTGCGTAGGCCTATGTTTTTCGTTCAGTTGGCCATATATTGTAGGTTTCTTCCCGACCAGGCCTATATTAACTATGGACCGTTCAACATCATAATAAGCTAACCCTCACATTTGATTCACGTTTTGCTGCGCTTCAAACAAATTCTACCGCAAAACTTTTGAAGTTGAACTTCCACTCTTATCACCTACTCCTACCTGTCCTTTCTTTATCTGTGTGCATAGAGTAAAGCAAGAGTGGCCGTATCCGTATGAAATCCAAATTTTACACACTTTAATTTCTGCAAACTATACGGAACTGCGTGATTTTTATCAGATATCTCTTAATACACTTATGACAAGCTCTATTTTCGTAATAGATGATAAATGCAGACATTCCACCAACGAACCGTTCTAGGTTCCTTCTCCATTCCAAGTGACCGCCCACTTAAAGCAATTCATTCATCGCAATTTTTTATGTTATCTAAATTACCTATCTCTTAGCTATTTAAGCAACTAGTGACTTAATACCTATGCCACGGGGTTTCTAACCATCAGCTTGCATGCTCTAACCCTATTTTCTATCTTGGTTTGAGTTGCCTGGCAAGTTCCAAAGCTTTTTAAACCATAGATCGAGTTTGAGTACGTGCGAAACGCTTGTCGTTATTTAGTTTTCCTATATAACCATGTGCAATAGTTTCGTGTTGTTGAGTATTCCAGACCGTAGCTGCTACCTTGACGCGGTGGTCGGGCTTGCATATCGTGACGACCCAACTGAGCTATACTGGCTGGAACATATGTTCTTATACGTTCTACCATGCCAGGCAGGTCGATTGGAGGACGGTAAGACTAAAAGCAACAACTCAAGGTCTGAGGGCGAAGTCGTACTGCTGACTGTAAAGGGTGTGACAGCAATAAGGTGTTTCCCTCGGACAAGCATCATCTGCAGCGATGCTGCCTTCTCACAAGGAAGGACGAGGTTAGAAAAGGTCGACCCTAAAAATTTCACACCTGACCTTACCTCATGGATTTCTGTCTGCGGCCCCCGAATGCCCTGGTACGGCCGAGAGTGGGGAGAGTCCGCTCTCCCTCTCGAAATACTCTCACACGGCCGCGCGTATACAGCCTCTGCCAGGGAAGTCCTACTCATTGCCTTCTCGTGGCGGGGGTGTTGTTTACGAAAATGAGAGGACGAAAAGCGAATGTCCGGCGCTTTAACCGGATTCCAAACCAATGGTGCACATGGGCTCCAGTATCCTGCGGGAACAGATGGCGTATGAACCAATTCCTTGGTCACCGGCTACCATGGGATTGCATCTCCTTACGATGCTCCACTGCCTTGTGGGTTAGACCATTAGGTCAAAGGCTCGGTGTGTGGCCCTCTAAGATAACCACCTGCTTCGGTTTGGGCACCCGGGCAGTATCACAGCCCACACACAAACCATGAACTCTATGACTATGTCAACTAATTTCCTCGCTCCGATCAACATTCAATCGATTCAAATAATTATTACTATTATTGTCATTATTATTATTATTATTATTATTATTATTATTATTATTGTTATTATTATTATTTTCCACATTGTTCACCCTCTTTCATACTTATACAGCGGCTCGTCTTTGGTGGAAATTCGACTGTATCTAAACGTTCTCGAGTCACTGTCCGGTTGAAAATTGTATGTTACCACCGAATACGAGAACCGAAGCAGTTTTTCTGAAACCACTTGCACCATTCAAACTGGCTGCCTTCAACGTTCGCACACTAGTGCAGGTCGGACAACAGATAGGGCTGGCTATGTATTTGGAAAGTCTTAATATTGATGTTTGTTGTCTATCCGAGACCCGTATTCAAGACTCTGGTGAAGTACTACAAATTCGCTCTCCATCTATCGCTTCAAAAAGCTTATTTTACGTGCATTTATCCGGTGACCATGTGGCATCTTCGTCTGGTCTTGCTGGCGTTGGTGTCGCACTAAGCGCTAGAGCTGAAGCAGCACCAATCGATTGGATCCCCATTAACAAACGGTTATGTGTTGTTGGATTAGAAATGACCGTCAAAGTGAGAAGAAATCGGCGTGAGAAACGATGTCTTTTCGTCATCTCCGCCTATGCCCCGACAGATTGCACCCGGGATGCAATCAAAGATGAGTTTTACCACCAGTTAACTGTTCTTCTCCAGAAAGTGCGTTCGACAGATTGTAGTACTAGCCGGAGACTTGAATGCTCAGGTAGGGCGTCTAGGCACAGACGAGAGTTCTTTTTTGGCCGATGTGAACTTGTTGGTCGCAGGACAGATAACGGAGACCGTCTACTGCAACTGTGCACAGACCACAACCTGTTGCTGGCTAGCACTAATTTTCGTCACAGTCATCGCCGACGTGCCATCTGGAGTCCTACCTCTGCATCTCAAGCCTGGACTCAGATTGATCACATCGCAATCAGCTACCGCTGGCGTGGTTGTTTAAAAGACTGCCGCTCCTTTTGGAGTACCTATCTGGACTCTGATCGTGCCCTGGTCTGCGCCAATCTTGCCTTAGTTTTCAGTGGACAACGAAGTGACCACCACCAAAGGATTGATATTAGCGAGCTGGTTGCAACTTCTGTTGCAAATAAGTATCGAACCGAGCTAGCCTCTAGGCTAGTTACCACTCCGCCGAAAAGTATAGATGAGCATTGGTCGCAATTACATGACGCCATGAAAATGGCAGGAACAGTCAGTTGTGGGTTTGCGAAACGTCCCGCTTATAAGCACAGGGTTTCTGCAGGTTCCTTACAACTTATTGAAGCCCGTCGGTCTACTCCGGGTGACCGTGAGTCTGACCATAAACGTAGGATGTTACGTAAGGAAATTGGGCAAAGCTTGCGTAAGGACCGAGAAGCCTGGTGGTCGGAGCGTGCTAATGAGCTGAAAGCAGCAGCTGCATCTGGTAACTACCGGAAGCTCTTCCAGCTCATCCGAGCCACTGGCAGCAAGAAGTCTGGTGTGAGTGAAACAACCTGCGAGGATGATGGGATGCCAATCACTAACATCCATCGACGTCTTGGACGATGGGCAGAATTTTTCGAAGGGCAGTTTAACTGGCCTGCTGCTCCGGCAACATCGGTCAGACTGTCCTGCCCTCCATGGCCGGTGACGACTGATCCACCAAACGAGGAGGAAGTCCGCAAGGAACTCCAACTCTTGAAGCGTTACAAATCACCTGGCCCAGATGACTTACCTCCGGCTCTTTTTAAAGATGGTGGTGACTTTTTGACTAAGGAATTGACGACGTTGTTTACATAGGTTTGGGAACTAGAGAGTGTACCAACGTCGTGGAATGAGTCGATAGTTGTCCCTATCTTCGAAAAGGGTTCACGTCGTTCCTGTAACAACTATCGGGGGATAAGTCTACTTCCGATTAGGTCCAAGCTATTGGCTTCCGTCATATTTCGTAGGTTGTTCAAAACCCGAGAAAGATTGACTCTCGAGGAGCAGGCTGGGTTTCGTTCTGGTCGAGGATGTATTGATCATATCTTCACCCTCCGCCAAATGTTAGAACACTGCCATACTTATCAAAGGCCAACAATCGTAGTGTTTCTTGACATCAGGGCTGCCTTCGATTCGTTAGATAGGACTGTTCTCTGCGATTGTCTATTGAAGAAGGGTGTGCCTGAGAAGTTTATTAACATCCTAAAAGCCCTATGCACAAACACCTCAGGCAGAGTGAGAGCATACAACAACCTTTCTCCATTGTCCCACTCAAGCAGTGGGGTTAGGCAGGCTTGCCCAATCTCACCATTCCTCTTCAACTTTGCCATCGACGAAATTCTGGGAACAGCTCTGATGGATGTAAGTAATGGCGGTGTGGATCTATTGCCTGGAGAAAGACTTCTTGACCTTGAGTATGCGGATGATATTGTCTTACTGTGCGATAATGTTCAAGCCATGCAATCCACACTTAATCAGTTGGCAATCAGTGTCCGTAAGTATGGTATGTGCTTTGCACCTTCTAAGTGAAAAGTACTTTTACAAGACTGGCATGACCCTGGTCCTGTACTCACCCTGGGTAGTGAGCAGATAGACGTAGTCGAGAAGTTCGTGTATCTGGGTAGCTGCATAAGTGCTGGTGGTGGCGTGAGTGATGAGATCAATGCACGTATAGTGAAAGCCAGAGCGGCTTATGCCAATCTGGGCCATCTTTGGCGCCTTCGTGATGTTAGTCTGGCTGTAAAAGGTCGGATCTACAACGCGTCGGTGAGAGCAGTTTTGCTCTATGCTTGTGAAACCTGGCCTCTCCGAGTTGAGGACGTTAGACGACTCTCTGTGTTTGATCATTGTTGTCTTCGAAGGATTGCTGATATCCAGTGGCAACACCATGTTAGTGATGCAGAGGTTTAGCATCGTGTGTTGGAGCACAGAGACGATAATGCAATTGTTTTCGCTATCTTGAAACATCAACTTCGGTGGCTTGGACATGTACAACGAATGACGTCACACAGAATTCCACGTCGTGAATTATTTGCTCATGATAGGACCGGTTGGAAAAAGCGTATAGTTGCTTAGTGCATGACATGGTGTCGTGGCATGAACGAAAGCTTGTGTTGGTCCTTCACGACTCCCTGGTTGGGGTCTGAGAGATGGTGCTACACAGTGGATAGAGATGTTATCAGATATGGCTCAGAATAGAAGCCAGTGGCGACCCTGCTGTAACTTTCTTTTACTTTCTTCATAAAAAGTGGTTGTGTTTCCCTTATTTGAAAGATTTCTTCTGATTGTACC